GCATGCGCTGATTTTCTCCCTGACCCCTGCGACGTGGGTTTCGTTTATGATCGCGAGGATGCCGTCTGCGTTGAGGGACACGTCGCCAACGAGAATCTGGCCACCCTCCCATGGCATATCCGGGTGATACCATTGATTCCATGCGAGGCGGGTACCATCCGGAGAGAACTTTGGCAACGCGTAGAAATCGGCGCTGGAAATCAGAGGATGGATGGATTTGTCCTTGGTATTGATGATACATAACGAGGTTACGATGCCGGCAGGGGTGTCGTCTGTATGGTCTTCTAAAACGGAGACGAGGAGATGGGTGTGTATGGGGTGAGGCTCGAAATTGGCGTATCGATATGGGACTTTGTCTTGAGAGCTGAATGTTAATAAAGATATCTGTGAGAAGGTTACGACTCACCTGGGGTTACTGGTTCTGGCTGATTACCATCCGAAATTCGATAGACGCGCCCATCCGGTAAATGTGAGAAGTAAATGACACCAGCGTGAATGACCGCCGCTGATCCACCGTATTCCTGAACGCCCGTTCGGACATTCCAACCTTCCCCGACTACATCCTTGTTTGATTTGGTGTGAACGAGAACGTTACGCCCCGCCTCGGACGGGCGTTTCTCGACTTGGTAGACTTCTGAAGTAATAGCGTCGACAATAACATCTGCGATGCCGTTTGCCTTGAGAATTATGAGTAAACACGTCGCGTATTGTGGAGAACGGCAAGACGTACCCCTTTAGTTATGGCTTGCGCCGTAATAGGCGATGACCAGGTCCCATACGGCGCTGTAGAAGAGACCATTGGTATGGATCTGATGGTGATAAGCAAGAGAATCGTGTGTGGCAAACAACTACAAAGCAGCGAAAATCCCACTTTTGAGATTCCGCCGAAAACTTTAATTCTCGAAATGGTCATACCTCACATGACCTGTGGGAACGACGCCGAAGTGACGCTCGTCGCTCACAAACCAACAACCATACCACGCCGTATACCTTCCCTCTCAGAATCTCCCACCCGTCAACCTGTCTCAAGTCCAACCTGACAGCTTCTGAAACCGAAAATTATCCCAACGTAGGTACAGAAACCCCGTCCCAACTACGCAAACCACATCCAGCGAGGGTGCGAAACGATGAGTCCAACGACGAGTGCTCAACCACGCCGTGGACGATAAAAGCTGCCAGCGCTGAAGAGAAGCAATCGGCCGCCCGACGCACACGACAGGACTTGGACACGGCCCCATCTACGCAAGTCCGACACCAACGACAAACATATACCAGGACGAGTGAATTCCAAAGAAGCGCGGAGGATATCTAAGCGACCACGACGCGATTCACTTGGCATGGCGTGGGATAACACCCTTCCAGGTGGGAAATGGTGGGGCTGAGAAGCTAGGGGATCCGAGTCGCGACTGGTATGTGGACCTCCCCGCTGTTAAGAACGTTGCTCTAGTCAAGCTCCAGTGGCATAGGTATTACAGATAGATATTTTGTATTGCCAATATGTAGTAGTTACTGTATTCCCTTGTAAATATTCTTCATCTTAGAAATATATCAGTGCCAAAGCGATCACTTATTTTACGTACTTATGACTTCGCGCGATACGCGTTTGGGCGCTTGTTGGGTGCAGCCTTTGGGCCGTCATCACGTGATGACGCTCCTTTTTAAGAATTAAGGTTTTCGGCGGAAAGTGATCAACTCGAAAATCCCACAAACTCGATTGCTCTTGCGCTTGCTCAAAGTCATTTTGCTGCTTTGAAGTTACCATATTCTTATCTAAATTCACTCTTTCAACGTTCAACGTTCAACGCGCAATCTCAGGAGAAGTGAGCATGGATAAAATAAGATAAGATTAGAATCACGTGCCCCTGCCAGCGTCCAGACTTTGAGTCGTTCATTCAACACCACGATGATCCACCTTTTCGGCGAAGAGAAACGACGAAATATTAATCTTGGCGGGGCATCGAAGGTCGCGAGTCAGGCCGAACTTCTTGAAGCAGCGCGAGGACGACGTAATGAACGGTGATGCTGCTGTACGAATTCAATCGTGGTGGCGCGGAGTCAGAGAGGCGAGGGAGGTCAAGATAAGACTGAGGGGCGCATTCGAAAGGGATGTAGCTGGCCTGGATGGGTTTAGGTGTCTGGTCTTGATAGGGGGCAAGGATGAGGAGGCGCTGGGTATATGGTCAAGTCAGATGGTGCAAGACGGGGAAGGTGAGTGGCTTGTAAAGCATCTTTTTCACCGCAACTTACTCTGTCATAGCACTTTTGTTTTCCCCGGCCTTGCAAGGGTCTGGGGAAAGCTGGTTAGTGCTCATACGCCAGGTCAGTTTGCTATTAGTGCAGTCGACTTCGAGACATCCACAGCACGCTCTCCAGCTAATTTATCAAGAGATTCTCACCGTTTCTTATCTTTAGATCATTGTACGCACCATCACACATTCAAGTCCTCAACCAACTACTTTCCTGCGAATCGACGAAGCGCGTATCAGGGCCACCAGGCGTGTATAGCCATAACCAGTTATCTCTTGGAACGCAATTTCTACACATTAATATCCCAGGTCATCCGACAGACAGTAAGCCACTTCTTATACTCAATTTCACCGATTTCACGTTCGTCTCTAGCCTACGCAATCCAAGATATCCCCTAGCCTCATTTCCCTCGTCACGGCGCCACTCGCCACTTTCCCCTCGCCCTCCCCGTGCATCAGCCCCATATTCACCCACATTTTTACCATTCCGCTTCTCCCAAACCGGATCCCACTTGACTCGCTGTCTCGTTTCATAACCCACATCCCATTCTCGGATCGATACGTCCTAGAGCAATATAGCGCCTTAATAACCAGTTCCACGACTACAGAAGACAAAGTTCACCTCGTGGCAAACCTGCAAACCTATGTTTATTGCCCCTCACTACTCGAAACTCGGTGGCCGCTCTCTGTCAATGTATCTCCGTTTCCTTGCAGTCCATCATTCGTGGAGGTGGGGTAAGGAGCCCGGTGGAGGTAATAGATGGTAATAAAAAGATGTTGTGTGGAAGAAGTGGAGAACACATTTTCTCTCTCTCTCTTCTTCGCCGGCAATGGATCACAAGCCCACGGAAAAGGTCGTCGAGACCACTAGCATTGTGGACTCCGACGCTCCTTACCATGCGGAACTATACGATCCCTCCAAAGAGTCGATCTGGACGCGACTTGGAGTCAACTTTGAAAGTTTCAAGCGCGCTCCGGGCACCACTGGGTACATGCTTCATAAGGCTCGCGTCGATTATTATTTACTTTGATTTCTATTAGTGGTCAGGTCGTTGCTGGTGCTGGCAATGTCCAGGACCTCGAAAAAGTCGTGGCTGATGCCCCGATGCTCCAACAAAAAATGAAGCCCAGACATCTTCAAATGATTGCCGTCGGTGCGTTCGATCTTCCCTCCGATTTTTCGAGTGCTGATTCCACTCACTTTAGGCGGTAGTATTGGTACTGGTCTATTTGTCGGCTCCGGCTCTGCGCTCCACCACGGAGGTCCTGCTGGAGTCTTGATTGCGTGGCTTCTCATTGGTATCATGTTGATCAACGTCACACAGGTAGGTTTTTTTTTCTCGGGCATGCTTTGACGAGGATCTAACTTCACTTCGTTTCTTCAGGCTCTCGGTGAAATGTCTATCCTTTATCCCGTCTCTGGAGGTTTTTACACTCTGTCCGCTCGTTTCTTGGACCCCGCCTTTGCCTTTGCCATGGGATGGAATTATGTCTTCCAATGGGCTGTCGTCCTTCCGCTTGAAATCACCGTCGCCGGGACAACAGTTCAATATTGGGGCAAACATATTATGCCTCTAGCTGGGTGGATTACGATCTTTTACGTAGTTATCAGTGAGCCCTCTTTTTTTATATCTTAGCCCAATCATTTCGTTAATAATCATTTCAGTTATCGCTAGCGTCTTCGGAACACTGGGTTTCGCCGAGGAAGAATTCTGGTCGTCATGCCTCAAACTTTTCGTAGTTATCATGTTCATTTTCATTGGCATTGTCTGCATCTGTGGCGGCGGCCCCAAGGGTGGAGAGTATGATCACTACATCGGTGGGACATTCTGGAAGGATCCTGGCCCGTTCGCTGCTGGTTTCAAGGGTATCTGCGCAGTATTCGTCACCGCGGCTTTCTCGTTTGGTAAGGCGATTCACCATACACGCCGCAATCTTGAATTCACCTTTCGTTCACTAGCTGGCACGGAGTTGGTTGGTCTGGCTGCTTCTGAGACTCCTAATCCTCGTGAGACTATGCCCGCTGCCGTGAAGGGTACCTTTTGGCGTATCGTAAGTCTTCGCTGTTTAATGCCTGAATGCCTTTATTGACGCCTTGAGATAGACGCTCATTTATGTCACCTCCCTGATCATCATCGGCCTCCTCATCCC